GCCACTCAGACACAAGTCAACAACATCCAGCAAATTCTTCGAGATGAACGCATCACAAAAGAACAGCTCCAAAAAGCAGCTACCCGCTACGGCATCCCGCTTGCTCGGGTCCTCAAGCTACCCCCACGTTCACTACAGCAATTGGTGGCCGCGGGCTCGGCATTGGCAGCCTGACTCGCACAACAAGCGCTGCATCAACCAACACATCTTACCCTACAATCTTTAACTACATTGCACACAGCGCTATCACACTTTGTCCATTTCACCCCCTACATTGACAAGTCACACGCTATTTTTTCTGTCAGTCTTATTCACCTTACATGCCTCTTTGCCTTTCCCTCTCAAACACATCACTCTATACATTGGCGCTCCCGTTTCAACCAACTACAAGTTACACCACACACCTACCACTACCAAATGTTCACACATCCTAATGCGGTCTATGCAAAGCTCTTTTTCAACCAACATCACACAAGACACCAGTACCACCAACATGGACACACGTACATCGGCTCTACCAGTATCACTATTCCAAAGCGAGAATACAATCGCCATGCAAAACTCAAACAATTACACAACAACCATCCAATTTCAGCTGAACTTTCCCTACGCTACTGGCACTCCAAGAACAACCTCCACCACTACAGTACCATCTACCTTTCCCATCACGACACCTATGATCAAGCTTGGACCTACGAACACTTGCGGATCCAGGAATGGCAACCTACACTCAATTGGCCATACATTCAACGACACCTCAAACTCAAAGCCTCAGGTTGGCAATTCTCAAAACACCGCACCACTTTCACACGCATGTCCACTCACAAACGTCTCTTCCAACGGCTACGACGACGACAACACACCATCAAGCAACCCCACCTTCACACGAGTCAACGGCTACACGCCCTGACAGTTTTACGAGAGCTCAGCAAACATACACGTTCATCTTTCGAAACATCAACAGCCATCCACAGCGGCAAATACACTGATCTCGAAATTTATGCCTTCCGTCGAATGGCCGCCAGCTTAGAGGAACCAGATCGATCCCGTGTCCTTCACCTTCTCCACTCAGCGCTCAGCTTTCGCAATCTCACTCCACCAAAAGCCAACAAACCCTTCACCATTCCTTTCCTCTCTCACAGTACCTTCTCGTCCTCCACGGAAAAATGGCTTCGTACATTGATCCAACACCACATGCATCACGTCATTCCCTTCCACCCACCTACCACCAAATTACGTGAAGCAGCACACAAGACTTTACGCTCACGGCTCTACAACCACAAACGTTGGGAGGAACTCTTCTCCGCACACCCCTCAGCAACAGACATGCCACGCAGCTGCCACCACATGCACACCCTGCTTCGCCCCAACCACACACCGCAGCTCTATGATGGCCACTACGTGCTTACACTTGACGACCTACAGCTACCCAGCCATCTTGAACTATTCCTACAGGCAAACATGAACAGCACATTCTTTCCCACAAAGACACAATATTTCCAACATTTTGAACAACAACTCACTCACTGGCTACGACACCATGGTCTACCCACCGCCCTCCATCAACACAGCCTACCTTTTCTACACCAACAATGGAAACAGCACATCGACAACATTCTATACACCCCACGCTTTACATCCCGCAACGTTACACAGCTTCAACAGTTTCTTACAGACAAGCTGGTACTCCATCATGCCGACCACGAATGACAAAATTTGCGACTTTTCTGTCCACAACACTACTTTCACGGATGTCTCACCACTTGGAACACACCACAATTATTTCTACCACTACCAGATCTCACTGCCCAACAACTTCACCAGTTTCTCACACAATCGTTCCCCGCCAGCATACGTCGAGCCTACCCATGGGGATCCCGCAAGCAATTCTACACACCACATGGTGTAGTCTTCCTCAAACAAAAGAAATCTTGGCGCAAAGGTAGAACAGTCATCAGCTACTTCAGATCCATTGCTGGCACACTACTACGAGCCACCTCCAAAGCATTAGACATCATGCTCCTTCATCTTCTACCACAACACCCAGGCCAGTTATCCATACCCAACCTGTGGCAACATCTCCACAACCACTTCCAGACCACACCCGACGACATCCACCTCACACCAATCAATGATGACCTTGTCGGCTTCTTCAACAGTGTACCTCAGCAACGCCTCGTCGATGCAGTCATCAGCCTATGCCACCGCTGGAAAACACAACACAATACTACCACCATCACCATAGATGTTCAGTCTACTGGCAATCCCATCCAACATTCCCACATTGGTCGACACTACATTCACCACCCACAACAACGCACCCTGGACACTCAACACATCCCCCTCATTGTACAACAAGCCCTTCACTCATGCATTTTCCAAGCATGCAACACCTACTACAAACAAATCCAAGGAGCAGGCATTGGCAGTCAGCTCTCACCAGCACTTTGCAATGTCGCAATCACACTCATCGAACACACATGGCAAACCACGTACCACAATTTCTTGCACCAACCCAGCCTTCATTTGCTCAACACCCGCTACGTTGACAACCGATACATTTTGCTCAACGAACAATACAGGTCAGCACTCCCCATCACCACTTTGGCCCATCCTGAATTTTATGAACACCCAGTTGAAATAGAGCCAGTGGACGACGACCATCTACTCGGTTTCCTGATCGATCCTCTTAACAGAACGGTCACCTTTCAACTCCCCGCTCACCCTTGGCAGATTCGTGATCCGCAGTCTGCAGGGAGCCACAGACTACGCCTCTCAGGCCTACAATCACGCCACCACACGCTACAAAAGTACACTTTCCCAAAACATCTTGTACCCACGACAGCACAGCAGTTGATGCAGCTCTATATGACCAAAGGTCATCCAAAAGAACACTGTGCCGCGGCGCTGCGGCCACGAAGAAAAGACTATGCGCCAGCACCTTCACAGATTGTCGTTGAATACAATATACAGTATTGAACTTTTTCGATGTCCAGCCCTTCCACTATTTCTTATCCAGGTCCTACCTGATCCGATCTAGCTGCGCCGATACGGCTCTTTGTGTGCGTCCAATCCTGTTTCCAAGGACACTACTCTAGTTCTCGTTCTACCCTACCCTACGAATCTTCCAACCATTGTACAGTAGCAGGGGGCCAGCGCATGGCATCACGACGCTGGCCAACGAAGCTAGTGATGTCATGGGAAGCAGTCAGAGACGTCTGACTGTGTACCTGCAATTTTTAATATACACTAAATTAATACTTTTTGTTGAAACATTCAAGTGAGCAGACTTTGCACTTCTTTCCGTTGAATCAAGTCAAGAGCTAAGTATTCACTTAAAGGGCTAATGCACACCGCGAAGCAGCCTGAAATCACGCTCCACGGAGCAACCTTCTCAAGTGTGTGTGTGTGTGCGTGCGTGCGTGCGTGCGTGAGTGAGAGAGTGAGTGAGTGAGAGTGAGAGTGAGAGTGAGAGTGAGAGTGAGAGTGAGGAGAGTGAGACGAGTGAGAGTGAGACGAGTGAGAGTGAGACGAGTGA